CGGGAGGCGGGGCGCGGCGGCGATTGGCAGGCGCGCTGACCAACAGCGGCGGGGTGTAGGCGGGGCGGCGCTTGAAGTGACGGTTTCACCGTCCAATTGCGGCGCGGCGGGGCTGTGGCGAGCGGCGGGGCGCCGAGCCAATCAGCGCGCGGGCGCGCGGCGGCTTTGACCAATCGCGGGCCGCGGCGCGCTTCTGGCCCCGCCTCCAGGTCCGGCTGCCGGGCCCCCCGGCCGCGCTTTGAACCCAAAACTGCGGTTTTTTTACCCCAAAACTGCGGCTTTTGCCCTCAAACCACCGCCTTTCGCCTCAAACCGGCTCTTTCCCGCCTCGGGCCGGCGGCTTTTCCCTCACAACTGCGGTTTTTAGCCGTGGAAAGGGCGCTCTTGGCCTGAGAGCGGCGCGTTCCCTTTGTTCCCTCAGGATTCCCGGGCGCGGGATCCGGGACGCCCCGGGGGCTCCGGCCGGGCCCTTCCCTTCCCAAAACCGCCTTTTCCCACCCAAAGCGGCGCCTCTTCCCTCAGGAATCCACCGCAAAGCTCCCGCTTCCCTCCCAAAGCCCGCGCCGGGAAATCCCGCCGGGAATCCGGCAGGAAATTCCAGCCGGGAGCGAGGAATTCCCGGCTTCCCTCACGGGGGCGGAGGGCTGCGTTTAAAAGAAAGAAATCCGCTAAAATCGAGGCTTAAGCGGGGGGAAAAAAAGCGCCCGAATTGTGTTTTTCTTTTTAAACCTGTTCTTTTTATTTTTTTATCCCCGTTTTTAAGGGGTTTAGCCCAGATTCCATTTCCCTGTTCCCAAATTCCCCTCAGTTTTAAGGGATTTATCCCAAATTCTGTTTGGCTCTGCCTAAATTCTCAGAGGTTTTTAGCCCAAATTGCGTTTCTTTCTGCCTAAATCCCCGCTGGTTTTTGGGGGTCCCAAAATGACCCCAAATCCCTCCTTGGGGTCCCAAAATGACCCCAAATCCCTCCTTGGGGTCCCAAAATGACCCCAGACCCCACCTTGGGGTCCCAAAATGACCCCAAACCCCTCCTTGGGGTCCCAAAATGACCCCAAACCCCACCCTGAGCTGTCCCCTGTCCCTGCTGGGTGACACCGCCGTGTCCCCAGAGCGGTGGCTGCGCTGTGGGCAGGAGGAACCCCCTGTGTGACATTCCCTGTCCTGTGGTGACATTCCCTGTCCCTGTCCCTGTCCCATGGTGACATTCCCTGTCCCTGTCCCATGGTGACATTCCCTGCCCCACGGTGACATTCCCTGTCCCTGTCCCATGGTGACATTCCCTGTCCCATGGTGACATTCCCTGTCCCTGTCCCATGGTGACATTCCCTGTCCCATGGTGACATTCCCTATCCCACGGTGACATTCCCTATCCCACGGTGACATTCCCTGCCCCATGGTGACATTCCCTGTCCCTGCCCCATGGTGACAATCCCTGCCCCATGGTGACATTCCCTGTCCTCTGTCCCTACCCCACGGTGACATTCCCTGTCCCATGGTGACATTCCCTGTCCCTGTCCCACAGTGACATTCCCTGTCCCATGGTGACATTCCCTGTCCTCTGTCCCTACCCCACGGTGACATTCCCTGTCCCATGGTGACATTCCCTGTCCTCTGTCCCTACCCCACGGTGACATTCCCTGTCCCATGGTGACATTCCCTGTCCTCTGTCCCTACCCCACGGTGACATTCCCTGTCCCATGGTGACAATCCCTGTCCCTGTCCCCAGAGCAGTGGCTGCGCTATGGGCAGGCGGAGCCGGCGGGCAGTTCCCACACCCATGGTGACAATCCCTGACTCACAGTGACATTCCCTGTCCCCTGTCCCTGTCCCCAGAGCGGTGGCTGCGCTATGGGCAGGAGGAGCCGGCGGGCAGCCGACAGCTCGTCCTCGGGGGAGGAGGAGGAGTATGTGGTGGAGAAGGTTCTGGATCGGCGCGTGGTGAGGGGCCAGGCCGAGTACCTGCTCAAGTGGAAGGGCTTCTCCGAGTGAGTGACACTGGGGACAGCGCGGTGGCACGCGGGACACGGACAGGGGACAGGGACACGGCTCCTGGGGACAGGGACAGGGGATGGGGACAGGGACACGGCTCCTGGGGACAGGGACGGGGGACAGGGACACGGCTCCTGGGGACAGGGACAGGGGATGGGGACAGGGACACGGCTCCTGGGGACAGGGACACAGCTCCTGAGAGGTGTCACTGGGGATCCAGCTGTGTGACAGGGGACACAGGGACATGGGGACATTGCTTGGACCCTGTGGGGACCCTGCTCAGTGACAGGGGACACCACAGTGACCCTGAGGTGACCCCGGGGTGCCGTGGGGACACTGCAGGGACCCTCCTCTGTGACAAGGTGACCCCGGGGTGTGACAGGGCACACAGCATCATGGCTGGGGGGTGTCCCCTGGGTGTCCCTGGCTGTCCCCTGGCTGTCCCCTGGTGTCCCCTGGCTGTCCCCTGGCTGTCCCCTGGTGTCCCCGGGTGTCCCCTGACCGTGTCCCACAGGGAGCACAACACGTGGGAGCCCGAGAAGAACCTGGACTGTCCCGAGCTGATCTCGCAGTTCCTGCGCAAGGACCGCAGGATGAGGGACATGAGGGACATGAGGGACAGTGACGGGACACGGCCCCGGGAGCGCCCCGAGGGCGCCAAGCGCAAGGGACTGCCCGGGAGCGAGGACGGGCGAGCCAAGAAGAAGAGGGAGGTGAGAGGGGACACCTGGGGACAGGGACATGGGGAGGGGATGGGGACATGGGGAGGGGACAGGGACACCGGGATGGGACAGGGACACAGGGAGGGGACAGGGACACCAGGAGGGGATGGGGACATGGGGATGGGGACACCAGGAGGGGATGGGGACACCGGGAGGGGACAGGGACACAGGGAGGGGACAGGGACACTGGGAGAGTACAGGGACACCAGGAGGGGACAGGGACACGGGGATGGGGGCAGGGACACCGGGATGGGGGTGGGAATCCAGGGATGGGGACAGGGCCATGGAGAGGGGACAGGAATGGACACCCAGGGATGGAGACAGGGGTTGGGGACAGTGACACCTCTCCACGGGGACAGGAGTCCTGCAGCGGCCACCAGGGAGGGGACAGTGCCACCACGCTGGGACTGGCACCGTCCCCAGCCCAGAGCTGCACCCTGTCCCCTCTTCCTCCCAAAATCCCAGGGTTTTTTCCCAAAACAATTCCCTTTGTCCCCAAAACCTCCCAGAGCAACGACATCGCCCGCGGCTTCGAGCGGGGGCTGGAGCCCGAGAAGATCATCGGGGCCACCGACTCCTGCGGGGACCTCATGTTCCTCATGAAGTGGTGAGGCCACCAGCAGTGTCCCCAGAGTCCCCTGAGCCCCCCAGCCCGTGCCTGTGACCCCCCCAGTTTGTGTCCCCCAGTTTGTGTCCCCTGTGTCCCCCCAGTTTGCGTCTGGGACCCCCCCCAGTTTGTCCCTGTGTCCCCACTGTGTCTCAAATTTATCTCCTGTCCCCACTTGGTGTCCCCAGTTTGTCCTCAGTTTGTGCCCCCAGTTTGTCCCTGTGTCCCCAGTTTCTGTCCCCAGTTTGTCCCCAGTTTAACCCCTGTCCCCGCCCTGTCCCCGCCCTGTCCCCCCTTTTCCCGCTGCCCCCCCAGGAAGGACACGGACGAGGCCGACCTGGTGCTGGCCAAGGAGGCCAACCTCAAGTGTCCCCAAATTGTCATCGCGTTCTACGAGGAGCGGCTGACGTGGCACGCGTACCCCGAGGACGGTGACAGCAAGGAGCGGGACCCCCCCCGCAGCTAAACCCCCCCCCTGTACATAGCCCCCCCTCCGTGGGGACCCCCGGGACTGTCCCCTGTCCCCCCCCAGTGTCCCCTGGGGGCAGGGCTGGGGTGACGCTCCCCTCGGGGGTGTCCCCAGCCTGTCCCCACCCCTCACCCCCCCCCCCCCCCCGGGCAGATTTGGGGGGGTGGCCCCGGGTTTTGGTGTTTTTTAAAGTCGGTGTTTTTAGCCGGGGCTGCCCCCCCGGGGTGTCCCCGTGTCCCCTCTGTCCCCTCCCCGTGTTGTCCCCAAGGCCCCTCCCCCGGATTTGCTGCCAATAAACGGTCACTTTTCAGGAGCCGCTGCTCGCTGGGGGCCTGGGGACCCCCGGTGTCCCCCCGGTGTCCCCTCGGTGTCCCCCCGGTGTCCCCCCGGTGACCCCAACGTGTCCTGGTGTCCCCCCCGGTCACCTCGGCGGTGCCACCCGCTGGGGACAGCACGGGGACAGAGGGGGACCTGGGGACACCTGGGTGACTTGGGGGGGCTTGGGGACACCTCAGTGACACGGGGAGGGGGCTTGGGGACACCTGGGTGACACAGGGGGGGCTTGGGGACACCTCAGTGACACGGGGAGGGGGCTTGGGGACAACCTGGCTACTGGAGGGGGATTGTTGGGGACACCTGGGTGACGCGTGAGGGGTTGGGGACCCTCGTGTGACACCGGGCGGGGTTGGGGACCCTCGCGGTCCCCCCGCGCTCCCTCCCGGCCCCGCCAGGGGGCGCCCTCGCGCCGCCGCCGCTCCGCGCGCCGCCCCCCCCACCGTGGGAAGAAGGGGCGTGGCCCGAGCAGGCCCCGCCCCCTCCGGTGAGCGCGCGCCGCGGCCCCGCCGCCCCCGTTCCCCCCTCCGCGTGCCCCTCCCCCCTCCCCGTGTCCCCCACGCGCGCTCGGGACCCCGGGGGGGGCTCGGGGGGCGGCGGGGGG